CTCTCCCACCTGCCAGCGGAGGGTGCACTCCAGCCGGCTGTCCCAGGAGCGGGGACCCCTCGGCCCTGCCTGCCCAGCCGCCGCGGCCTTCCTGATCCAGTAGCTCCCACTTTGTTGCTCGTCGAGCCAGTTGGTTTACGTAGTTTCTGCGGAAAGGAAGCAGGCAGCGCCTCTGAACTGGTATCGTACCCCCAGTGAGGAGAGGGATTGTCTGCTGTGCTCATAAAAGGTTCTGTAGAAAGACTGGTGTTTGTGTGTCGTGCTTATTCGAGCTGAAGATGCTCGACAGTTGGGAGTCGCGGATCCACTGGGGAGATGAGTGATCAAATACAGCCCGGCACAAGGGAAAATCAAAGGACCCATCCAGCAAGGATGATGTTGATGCCAGTCTGACAGCCAGCGGTCTGTGTTTACTGCTGTTGTTCAGGATGAATAGGAAGAAAGGAGACAAAGGATTTGAGAGCCCAAGACCATATAAATTATAAGTATCAATTTTTTTTAAAGTTGCTATACTTGAGATCAATGCACATTTGAACCAGGCCACAGGCTCATAAGTGATTATTTACCTGAGAAGGTTGTAACTATTGCTTATGGTGTAGCTTGCACTCAGAAAATGCGTGTTGTAGGTGTATGTTTTATTGTGTAAATGGACTCACTCATGCACAGTGAATCTGTCACCTGTGCAGTCTCATAAAGATACTGACATGGTGCTCTTCAGACCTTAGAGATCTCTCCACACAATATCAGCACTACAGACCATGTGGCCTGGTTTCATTCTTACTGCTGTGTTAAAGCCTTTTGACTTAACGGCTTTTTCATATATAAAAAATGCTTGCATTTGCAGCAAGCAGGTTTGTTAAGCAAATTGTTGTTTTTACATGTTAATTATTTTGGTTATAACCAAGCTGTAAAGCAGTTGGTTGTGGATTTCAGTGGATCTTTATGTATTTCTGTTTATACCTCCTTGTTTTCTTTATAAATCTGTAACAAATGTATTTCTAAATAGAATCACTTTTGTTATCATATACATTTTAATGTGTAGGTAACGTTTAAATCCATCACCGGATACTAGATGTTATCATTCTCTTGTGGGAATTTTTATGGAACTTGCTTAACTGAAGCAAAGTCACTTTTTAATGCACAGGATACATGAGTATGTGCATGTAATGTATGATGTGGCATAAAAGTTGAATTATTCCAAGGTTGTATCTTGAGACATGAATAGCACTGCTCTGAAGTGTGATGAAGATACCACCTACTACAGAAAAAATAGAGAAATAACTTCCAAAGGTTTAAAAAGTTGGAATTACTGTTTTATCTTCCATTTTTTAAATCAGAGTTTTATTTACCAGGAGTTCAAATATGGATTCAAAATTTAAGCAAATATCTATCTTGATTAATATATAACCATTATTTAAAATAATAAATTCTTATGACATATGAATTGTAAAAGCACATCCTGTATATTTTTTCATGTATAGTACCTGCTTACATAAATTATGTATGAGTGACAACTCACCAGGTAAATTTTCCACAGGTCTCTGATTGTAAATATTACAGCCACATGCTGTTTCTAATACTGCTCATCACTAAAGTGTTAGAACTTAATTCTCTGCCATTAGTAATACTATATTTTTGCATACTGTTATGTGATGTTCAAAAGCAATGTTGTTCTCTTCCTGTATTACTAGTAATATTCATACTGGTTTGATACGTTTGATACTATACTTTGATTTTACTTTTTATTTTCTGACCTTGTGTGCAATTTCTATTCATTATTTGGTTTGGACCATGTAAGAAATTTAGATCATCATGAATTCTTCGTAGAAGTATATGCTATGTGCTGTATTTGTCTAGATGTACATACATCCTGTATGAGCTCTCTATTTTTTAAAACTGGGTTAAAATATTATTTTAAATGCTGATGTTTGTGCAAAACCTTACTTATTTTATTTTTTTTTTCCAGCACAACTCACCAGGTAGTATGTATCAACAACATAAATTTTCAGAGAAAGTCTGTTGTAGTAAGTATTTTTTAATAAAATGTGAAAGTAGAAATTAAAAGTCTGGGTTTTCTTCATGCTTTTAGAGGAAACAACTGCACACACAAGCTAATTATGTTCTTCAGCTTCTTTGTATTTTGTACTGTCTAATCTGATGCCTCTCATAAGTCTGTCATTCCTTGAGATGCGTCAAATAAAGTACCTTCTAATTGTGAATGTTTTAATCTCTGTAAGGAAAAGCTTTCTAAAAGAAAGTTAATGCATTGCAAATAATATTACAAAGCAATTTTGAATTTAAAAGTTGATGGACAACACGGCATTAACTGATGTTAGGGATAGGGTTATAGAGTTTTCTAGCCTTATATGTGGGTTCCTAGGGGCTTTGAAAAGACTTTCACGATTTCTGAAACCTGAAGTTGGTGAGGCTTTTTTGTGAATTTAGCTATCTGTCAAGATGGATTCTGCTTAGGTTTTAAAAATCATTGTCTCAAGCTTAGATACCAAAATGTGAAACATAGTGATGAAAAACATAGTGATGCTAGTAACTTGAAATCTAGTCAATAGAGGCAGATCATTTCCAGTAAAACAATCAGGATTGTCAGTCATTTTGAAGTTTTTTTGTTTTGTTCTGTTTCATAGCTGGGAAAGTTCGCCTGTTAAATGGTATGAAAGAAAATGTATTCTAGATACCAAAAAGGGCAAACCAATTTCCTTTTTAAATAAAAAATTAACATATTTTACCTACAGTTTTCCTTTGAAATGCATTAATAAGATTTTTTTTTTTAATATATCTCTGTTTTGTGAGTTGGTAAAGATTTTATAGAAGGTTTTGATTTGTTTTTTCATAGGGTTATGTGGAACTGACAATATTTCCCACAGTTGCAAACCTGAATAGAATCAAACTGAACAGTAAACAGTGCCGGATTTACAGAGTAAGAGTCAACGATTTAGAAGCAGCTTTCATCTATAATGATCCAACGCTGGAGGTTTGTCACCATGAGTCAAAGCAGTAAGTGATGCGTTTAAAACTCTGCAGTTGTAGTGTCTTCTGTTGCTGTTAAGCATGACCTATTTTATTGTACTGCACATTTTACCTGGTGATTTCCTCATGGTAACGGACGTTTCAGACAGAAACAATTAACTTTTGGCATGGCAACTTAATTTTGGGGAAAGTGTTTTGGCAATAATTTTTACTCTTAGGCTCTTCTTTAGAATTTCTTTTACTCACATTTCTTTGTATTGTTTTGTAAAAGTATCAGAACTTTTAAAAAAGTACTTTATGGGGAAAAAAAGTGGTGGATGCCAGTAGCGTTGTCAGTGCTTTCTCATGTGTTTTTTTCCTTGGTAGGAAAATATCTTTGGCTAAAATGCTTCATCTCTGATGGACTTCAGGCTTACCTATGCCCAACTTTTACACTTATTTATTCAAAGAAAATTTGGTTACATTATTGTGGCAATAGCATTTCATTTATATTCTTGCAGAGAATGTTTTACAGTGGTGCAACTACATTCGTATGAGAGTTCTATGTGAGAGGATAGTCTTTAGTTTTGGGTTTTGTGGGGGTTTTGTTGTTTCTTTTTTCTTTGTTTCTTACTCCAGCACAGTTGGTTAAATCATTTTTATTGCATCTGTTTAATATTAATGTAGACCAAAACTACTATGTTCTGATAATTTGTCCTGCAAAAATTGTCCCAATTTTTATGATGTGTAATGTCAGATTGGATGATCATTTTTGTTCCTTCCTGTTTTTAAACCTAGGACTATTCCTATGATATCAAAGTTTTAGATAGAACTAGTAGCTAGATCATTAAGAGGTTGTCTACTCATTGCCTTAATGACTACAGCCTTTGAGATGTTTCTTAGTCCATCACAGTTTTGAGGTTAAACCTGACTTCACATCTGTGACTGTTGTCTGAAAACTAGAGTAAGAGGACTGCTGTTGTTCAGTTACTGAGATTCAAGTGCTACTTTTTATCCTAAGTTACACATCCTAGGGTTTGTACTGTTTGTTTATGGCAGGCACTCTATATTCTTTTTTTCATCACATACGCAGGAGTTTGCAAATACAATGTTCATTTATATAGGACACTGAATTGGATATCAGAGTTCTGAAATTTTGTTTGAGTCCTGATACTGAACCACTTGAGTCTATTAGTTCTATAATTCCTGTCTGTTTTGTGACTTGATTTTTTTTGTTGTTGTTGCTGTTGCTTGATAAGTTAAAAATTCAGAATCCTTATCGGAGGGGATTCTAATTGTTCTGAAGAGCTAGAAAGTAAAGTTTTTTGTCTTTTCTAAGAAATCAAGCTTTCACTGTTTGTTAGCATCATAGATTAGAGCATTAGTCCTAGAATGTTATCTAAACTCACTTTGAAATTTGAAAGGAAAAGTTTCAAATTTATTCACTGTCTGATATTGAAGAGCAAGTTTAAGAACATGTAGCTTCCTGCATGCTTTGGGGAAATGATAGGGGAAGAGACTTGGGTAAAAATCTCACATCTGTTTGTTTTTCAGTAAGAGAAGCACCATGGGCAAATGTTTTCCCTAAGTATTCGCTTTTGATTTTACTGAAACTTATGTTCATGTTCTCACACTTTGTTTTGGCTGGCTTGCTTGAATTTACAGTTTGCTGAATTGTTAACTTCTGGTGGAAGTGCTGTATGTATTTAACAGTGGCTGATACGAAATCACGGAGTCCTTCAGGTTGGAAAGGACCTATTGAGATCATGTAGTGTGACCCTCCTGCTCAAGCAGGGTCAGCTGGAGCACAGGGCTGTGTCCAATTGTGTTTTGAGTATCTCCAAGGATGGAAACTCTGCAGTGTCTGTGGGCAACCTGCTCCAGTGTTTGATGATCCTCAGAACAGAAAAGCATTTCCTTGTGTTCAGATGGAATTTCATGTATTTTAACTCGTGTCCACTGACAGGACCAGAAGCACAAACTGAAACGCAGGAAGTTCCCTCTGAACATCAGGAAACACCTTTTTACTGTCAGGGTGACTGAGCACTGGGACTATTTGCCTAGAGGGGTTATGGAGTCTCCATCCTTGGAGATACTCAAAAGCCATCTGGACATGGTCCTGCACTACCAACTCTTGGTGGCCCTGCTTGAGCCGAAGGGTCAAACCACGTGACCTCTGGAAGATGTGAGAAAGGAGCAGCATTTAAAATTTTCAGAGTGAGCACTCCTTATGTTAAGAAAGAGATTAGGAGAGATAACTATCATTTTGTGGAGAAAGTGAGTTTCTTTGTTTAGTATCCTAGTGGTATAGTGAAACATTATCCTTTTTTTATATTATCCTGTTTAAGAGCAGTGACTGAAATTTGGGGACAGTGCACGTAAAGTGAAATACTGTCTCACACAGGGCCACAGTGGCATGTCGTTCTCACTGCTGCAGGTTTTCACATTGCTATTCAAACTCAATAGAAAGTCTCTGTATTCCATAACTCCTGTGTTATTCATAGTTATGAAAGACAGAGGTCACCAAATATTCTTAATGAAAATCTAGTACGCCTCTTCTCTTTGTCCCAGAAGTCAGCGGCTACATGGGTTATAAAGTATTACGTGAGATGTGTATTTCTTCCATTGCAATACCTGGTCACAACTTGGTGTCAAGCTTGATGGCAGCTAAATTTTGATTATATACAGCATCTCTGCTCTTAAGGCAGGATTAAAAACAAATGCTAGAAATCTAAAAACTCTAGAATTAGTACCTAAAAAAAATAATTAATCAGTGGCTTTCCTCTGCTCTTCCTTACAAAGAACTGCTTCTAGACACAGCAATGGTTTGTAGTAGTCTTTGTAACTAATCAGTCGTCGTTCTGCTGATCGTGTCTTCAAAGTTCTTGTTTGTTTTTGGAAGTTTAGCGATGATGTCCTTTGTACCCTTGCAGCTGAACTAGGAATAGAAATGACTTTGAACAGGGCACAGATTAGTTATCAGGTTTTGTTTCTAATGTTACAGGGATAGTTACCTTTTGCATGGTTTTCTTCGGTAGTCTATTGATGTAGTAAATGTGAAATTAAGATGGTTCTTGGAAACCTGTTTGTTTAAAAGAATTTGATTTATATCTTTACTCTTTCCTGTGGTGTGTAGCTAGTAAAAAATTCGTTTAAGTTTCATGGTTTTATATACAAACATTTTCTTGATTTTGATAATGCTTTTAGTTTTCTTAAATGTTAATTTCTAAAGGAATACGTAAAGTATGTAGAAAAAGTTGTTAATGGACTCTTTCATACCTTTTTTTATAAAAGTTAAAATATTTTAAAGATTTCTTACTCCCTTAGCAGCAGAATTCAATAAAAAAGGAAAATTCTATGTTTAAAGCCACTGTAATTATTTCTTTGGGAAGATTTGCTACAGCATCCATGACTTGAGAGGGTACGTTCGCCGATATGAGGTGAAGATCATGTGAAGTGGTTAATTATCACAGAATGGTTTGGGTTGGAAGGGACCTTAAAGCTCATCTAGTTCCAACCCCCCTGCCATGGGCAGGGACACCTTCCACTAGACCAGGTGGCCCAAAGCCCCGTCCAACCTGGCCTTGGACAATTCCAGGGATGGGGCATCCACAACTTCTCTGGGCAACCTGTTCCAGTGCCTCACCACCCTCACAGAGAAGAATTTCTTCCTAACATCTAGTCTAAATCTACCTTCCTTCAGCTTAAGCCCCTTACCCCTTGTCCTATCACTCCATGCCCTTCTCCAGATTTCTTGGAGGCCCCCCTTCAGGTACTGGAAGGCTGCTCTAAGGTCTCCCCAGAGCCTTCTCTTCTCCAGGCTGAACAATCCCAACTCTCTCAGCCTGTCTTCATAGGAGAGGTGCTGCAGCCCTTTGATCATCTTCATGGCCCTCCTCTGGACTCCCTCTAACAGGTCCATGTCCTTCTTGAACTGTGGAGCCCAGAGCTAGATGCAGTACTCCAGGTGGGGTCTCACCAGAGCAGAGTAGAGGGGCAGGATCACCTTCCTCGACCTGCTGGTCATGCCTCTTTTGATGCAGCCCAGGACACAGTTGGCTTTCTGGGCTGCAGGCACATGTTGCTGGGTCTTGTTGAGCTTCTCGTCCACCAACACCCCCAAGTCCTTCTCCTCAGGGCTGCTCTCAGTCCAGTCTCTGCCCAGCTTGTAGTTGTGCTTGGGATTTCCCTGACCCATGTGCAGGACCTTGCACTTGGCCTTGCTGAACTTCATGCGGTTAATTGTTTCTTCGTTTACAAATTTTGGCATGCAAAAAAACATAATTAAAAGAGGGTTGAGAAGGTCAAGATTAAAGAGAGCTTTATCTATGAAATATAGGCAGTGCCATCTGAAATTGTTTCTGTCTGACCATAATGTTCTCTGCTATTTCTTGGGTGAGATCTTCTGATAGATCAGCTCTTTGTGTTCCGAATTTGAACATTCAACTTTTTTTCAGTTCAAGTAATACTTTTAGGTGTTATCATCTACTGATGCAAAAATCATTGACATGTGGTCTCTGTCATTTCACATTTTCGGTATTGTAGAAGGTGAAACAATTTTTTTGTCTTGTATATTGTCACTTCTGCTGAATGACAAAAACCCCCTTACTAAAAAGGTAATTAAAAACTGGTGAATTTTGTAGGAAATGTTAGAAACCTTTAATTGGTGCATCAAACGTATTTTCAGCTTTGATGCTATTGCCATTTTATCCGTCAGTCCCAAACCATAATTTCAGGTAACAACTGGAAGAATTTTTAAAGTTTTATCTAGAAATAAAGTCAGTCTTCCAATCTTGTAATTTCCTCTTGAGGCTTCAGGACATCATAGCTTTTTCATATCAAAATAGATGGATGAAGTTATGTAGCACAGTGACTTCCTCCCTGACTGAGCAAACGTCTGAGCAGTGCTTTAAGGTATAAAACAATTCACATAGTTTTACCATGTGTACACAAGGTGGCAGAGAATCCCATTTTGCTCATAATTTTAAGGGAGAGTTTGAAATCTGCAAATAGTGTTGCAGAATGTCTGACTTAAGGCTGTTGTTGTTGAGTATTATAGCCACCTCTGTCCTTCTCATCCTCCCTCTTCCATGTAAATTGTTGCTTTTTAATTTCTGTCAGTATAAGGTAAGTGGGATTTATTTTTCTGGGCTACAGTATGCAGAAATCCCACAGTGTATCTTTTGACTACTGAGACAACTGCTTGTATCTCAGCCCCTTTTATGTTAAAACAAGTAAAGGAGATCTCTGTTTTTTTAATCCTACAGGTAAGACTGTAAACTGTTAAATAGCTGCAGCAAAAATTTGGAGTTTTGGTGCAGTGGTTTGAACTGTGATAAGTGAAGTTTGTGATGATCCTGCTGTTGCCTGGTTATGTGCTTCCAATGTTTGTGTGACAACACAAATGGTGCAGGGTTGAGAAGCTGTTGCATTTAGTTATTTCTGTTGTGTTTCTGATACGTTTTTTGTATAGCTAGCTAATGTGCACATAATGCTTTCCTGCGCATAGGTACTCTATTCAGTGTAATTTTAACCTTCAGCAGTGTATACCTACCTGTTCATTCACTAGTTCAGCTTTTTTTTTTTTAATGTAAAACCTGTAGTTTTTAAACTTGAAAAATATGACGATATGTTGATATCCTCCAACTTCACTGTTGCTCTGTTGCTTTAGTTACAAGCAGCAGTACTCTGTGAGGTAGCCTTCACAGCGTCTTGCACTATTCTGTCTTCTGAGAAGTCAGTGATCAAGCCTCCAGCCTCTGCACAAAAAAGAAAAAATACTGGTGGAGTGAGCATGTGTTATTTTGCTGCAATAAGTAGCCTTCATTTCCACTGGTATGATGCTTATCTACCAAATTCATGATAGACTTTGTTAGAAATAGAGTTGTAGAGAGCTTCTGAAGAAAAAGATGGCAAAGCCCTTGACCTTGGGCAAGAATGAAAATTAGGTTTTTCGGTGTGCCAAAGATTCAGATTGTTGCCTTATTAATAAATTACCTATATCTGTACATATTGTATATCTATAAAATACACTATATATAACATATACTATATCATATTTTGGAGTTGGACTCCAAAACCAACTGCTAATTTTAAGTAGAATAGTAAATAAATTACAGGTAATGAAGAGCAATGAATTACATGTGGATCAGATAACTTTTTTGCCAAGTTGATGTTAAATACTGTAGGAAGAAAGTGGTTTATAGATTCTGTGTTTGGGCTGTGTAACAGTTAAGTAGCACTGCTGCAGCTAGTAGTGAGTAGCTATGGAAAATTGACATGGAGGTATTTGGAATCAATGAGTACCTTGAAAAAGAAGTCTCTACAGGATTGCTTGTTTCTAGTCAGTCAACAGGCATGCACTGGGGCTGTAATTAAGTGTTTTGAGTGAATTCTGATAATAAAATGTATCTCTACCAGGAAAAACCATGAATGCATGTTACTTTTTCATTGTCAATGTACACTTAGCATTAGGAAAATTTATCTTTGCTCCTTGGGCTGTAACTTTTGGCATACACTCTGTTTTTATTAAAATGGCCATATCCACTTTATTGAGAATAGTTCAACCTATGAAAAAATTAATCTGTGGTACTAAGCCTTTAATGGATTCCTTTAACAATGAATCACCCATTTGAATTGGAACACTTCACAAAAATAGAAATGTCGGAATAGACTGTTTTCCATAAAATGTTAATCCCTGTGGAGTCTACCTTTCTTGCTATAAAATCATAATCTTTTCCTGTCTGTGAACCCATTGATGTTAAAATGTAACCACAAGCTCATCGCGATTCTCAAATGTGGAACAAATTCTCGGTGATGTATACGAAAGGGATCCATTATCAGAACTGTGAATTTTCAGAACAGGTTTAGGTTAAAATGAAAAACTTTGAGACTTTACAATCTACCAGAATGTTACTGATGTTTTCTGTTGCTAGTTTCTTTAATTACTCAGATAGTTTTTAGTCATGCAGTCTTTTTTTTAAAGAGAGTTTTTCCAATGGTATTTGCAGAGAGAGAGTTGAAAGCAACATCAGTTGGGCTGGTTATGAACCCATCGACAATCTCCCATGCCTCAGTGGTAGCACTTCTTTGAGCCCTCAGTATGTCAGATCAGGGGGCTAAAGCAACTGAAAGCTCTCTGCAGAAAAAAAAAGACTACTTGCTTTTTTCCATTGGCACTTTCAGCTGCATCACCACAGGGTCGGATGAACAGTAGTCTTAATGAGTGAGGGAGCAGGAATTTGTGGCTGAGACTAGGAGACAGCACATCAGCTGGAGTTTAAGTTGCTTTGAATTGTTCTGGAACCATAGCTGAAGTTATAGAATATTCCAGTGTACAAATTCAACCTTGTGCTTTTAAAACTTGTTGGCATTATATCCTATCTTTAGGTACACTTCAGCTATGAAAATGGAAAAAATGATTATATATTAAAACTTGGGATTTGCTCATATGCTCCCATTTACTATTCATGTCCTATTTTCAGATGCTTCCAAGCAAAGTAGACGAGTTTACTGCTCCTAACATTCTCAGTCTTGGTAGTGGTGCCAGGGAATTTGTACACTATTATTGCCAAAGATCAAGAACTGCGTGAAAATATGCTCTCAATATATTTCAATGTTTTAGCAAATTTTTTAAAATGTGGAAGGCAGGAATATAAGCATGGTGTTTGACATACCTAGACTTCTAGGATGATCCTGGCATGGTTAATTACCCTTCATTCTTCCAAGTAAGGTACTGCAATTTGGGTTGAATGCTGTTTTCTCTGTGGGTGGTGAATAGAGAATGGTTAGATGAAAGTAAAATCCTGAAATGAGATCATGTCTGCTTTGTGTGAGCTTCGGATTCCATGGAAGAGTGGAGTCCACAGCCAAAAGTTAATGTACTCCGTTGTGGTGCAGCAATGCTGCAGATAGCTTTATGCTTGATTGTGGCTCTGCTCCCACAGTGGTTGGATTCATCAGTGGTACACACCTAAATGCTCAAAATTCTAGAAAAAGAGGTGGTCAGTATTCAAACGCTTTCTGTTCAGGTATGGAATTGTGCAAGCTTTTGAAGAACTCTGTGTACTAGAGGATTAGAATTAAGAAAGGTGATGCTTCCATGTTTTACAGAGCTAAAAAATCCATTTTGAAAAAAGTATAAAAGCTGTAGTGTAGAGATGCAAACCCAAGGTTATTTTTGAACTTGATTGGTCCTCCAATATCTGAACATAATCACATTAAATAATAACATCCTGCTTATAATCACTGTAACAGCAGACGCACGGATTTTCCTGCACATTTCAGTAGAAAACAGTTAATGTGAGCCATAACTGAAGTGATGGTATTACTTTGGAATGAAGCGTGCAGTCAGTTAACAGCTATTACACAGTAGCTTAAACAGCTGAAACTTGATTACAGAAATTTGTGTCTGCATCCTAAATTGTGTCAAGGGACTAAAAAGTATAATATGTATCTCTGTGGTTTAGTGTATTAAAATCAAAACTCTATCATCTATTATTTTACGTCATATTTAAAAGAACACGAAGTAAAGCTATTCCTATCAAGCTAAGAGGGGGAAAAATACCATTGTCAAGCTAAAATCTTACTACATTTGGAAAAGCAACATAAAACTGCAATATATGAGGAGGCAGATCTTCAAGACAGATGTTTAGTATAAACATACAATCTTAATCCGAAATTTTCCAAAACAAGAATTTTTAATTGCTATTCCCATAAGCATAAATATTACTTTTATTGGGAAGTAGAGAATACTGAGCATTTCTCATTTAATTTACTGGTGATTATTACTGCTTAAGTCTTTTTGATTATAGATCACTTCTATAAGAGCCTAGTTTTAAATTCTGGGTTTTGAAATCTAATCTTAACTCCTCATTTTTCCCTTTACTCCTTTAAAAACACAACAAAGTACTTGGTTGAACATGCACCATGAAATTCAGTATAGAAGTCCTATAACTTCAAAAGTTCATTTTTGTAGTTCAGCATGTACTTTAAGAATTAACTGGGTATTTCTGACAGGAGGAATCTCAACTATTTTTCCAATGCCTACGCTGCCGCAGTCAGTGCTGTGGACCCAGATGCTGGAAATGGAGAACTCTGCATTAAGGTTCCCTCGGAGTTGTGGAAACACGTTGACGGTAAAATAAAGAGACCATACTGAAAGCTTTATTTAAGGTGCCATAGATTTGTTAGCTATGAGTTTGCATAGGAAGATAGTGTATTTAAATAAATAGAAATAGCATTACATTATGAAATGGTGGTTACTGTTCCCTTTTACCTCACCTGTACCTTTCCAGTTGAAATCTGAAAAACACCTTCACGCTTCCTGGTAATATAGAGAAGTGGTTGTGAGGTTTCTCAGCATCCTTTCCAAACAAACTCTTGGGTGGTCATGAGGCCAGAAGTATACATGAGGATGTGGGTGTAATGGGGTATGTTGGGTGCCAAATTAGAAGTGTAGCTACTTACAATGTACATGAGCCAACAAATAAAAGAATTTACAAGGATATGCCTATATACATGTTGTTTAAAAAGCTATATTAATTTTTTCCCATCTTACTTTGAAGAATGGTTGGTTTAAAACTGATTCTGTAGTGAAGAGTAAACTACTTTATAAACTGGTGTACTAAATCCTGCAACACTAGATCCTGGAACAAGTAACTTTTTTAATAAATTACCCTCCAGCATTGATTATTTTCTTACATGGATTTTATTAGTTTCTTGTACTGGTTTTCTTATATGGTTGTATCAGTTTTTCCCATGGATTTAACAGACCTGTGAGAGACAAAAAACAACTGTATCATGAAGCTGACTCACACAGTGTTGTTAGATATACCTTAATGGGAAAGACACTTTTTTTATTTTAAGTTCCTGTTGTGTTGCTTGCAAGCCTAGAAGGGAAAATATTCAAACAGGTGTAATTTTTCTTTTCAAAGTTTGAATGCCAAAATATGGTGAGACTTGTTGGATAAATTTCACCATATGCCTGAATTTCTTTTCTTGCCAGCCTATTCATAGGTGAGATTTCTGTGAAACTAAACCAAAGCAAAGATACTTCAGCTAGAGGAAAAGCTTTAACTATAATAAGAGGTTTTAAGAAGCTGCAAATGACAATAACATGTCTTTTAAGAATGTGCCTGTAACATGCAGGTTTTGTAGAATATTGTTTTGGCAAGGTACAAAGGAGATTGTGGTTAGGGTACAATCACTGTGTAAAGATTCTTTACCATTGGGGAGTTGGAAGATGAAATATAACTCCAAATGCAGCTTTCGTTAATTAATAAAGATTCTTATAAATTCATATCCTGTAAGTTAAGCTTAAGACTTCTCAGTTTTGAAAGGTTTTGAGCTGTGCTTTGTGAGTGGACTTGGAGGTCCATGTGAATGAAGTAAACACATAATCGTGAAAGACAAAAGAGTCCAAAACTGGATGATTATTCTGAAATAACTTTCCTGTAAGTTGTATATATTTACTCTAATTTTTGTCTTGGTGCTGCAGAGTTAAAGGTCCTGAAGGTGCATATAAACTTTTCTCTGGACCAACCAAAAGGAGGCCTTCATTTTGTGGTACCCAACATGGAGGGCAGCATGGCAGAAAGAGGGGCTCATGTCTTTTCATGTGGTTATCAAAATTCTACAAGGTAAGAAAACTATCTTTGAATGTTAGATGTATTTCCTATTTAATCTCAAAGTGTAGGAAATACAAGAATTCAAAGAAATTAAGTTTGAAAAATCTGAAAATTTGTGCTTGAAAGGAGCTTACTGACATGAAGTAGCATCTAATGGTTAGTAAATAGGATTTCTAGTCTTTATAGCTCAGCTGGAGGTAATGACAAAGAAACTTGTAGTGTTTTATAAAATTAATGTATAGTAGGAGTCAGTATGTCAACATTCAAAGTATTTAAGAATATAGTTTGGAAACTGAGAGAAAAATTATCTATGAAAACAAAAATAATTATTAACCATTTTTCCCCCAATCCTAACTTCCCCAGATTTTGGTTTCCTTGTGTTGATTCATATTCTGAGTTGTGTACCTGGAAACTTGAGTATACTGTGGATGCTGCAATGGTGGCTGTTTCAAACGGTGATTTGGTGGAAACTGTATATACCCACGATATGAGGAAGAAGACTTTTCATTACATGCTGACTATTCCAACTGCAGCTTCTAACATCTCCTTGGCGATAGGACCTTTTGAAATCCTTGTTGATCCATACATGCATGAGGTAATGATCTTCATAGAAGCCTCCTTTTTAAATTTTTTTGGTAAAGAATTAGTGACGTTTTTGTTACAACGAGTATATATTGGTCAAATACAGGTATGTCTAGATATGACCTCCCTTAGTACAGTTATATGATAAAACTTGTCTAGTAATGCCTGTATTTAAATTGATCCCCCAAGTAAAGCCTTTGAATGAGCAATAATTCCATTTGTGCCTGAATTTATGGGACTGATTTAGTTGGAGTTGGTAATAACATACTCACTTGTGAAAGATAATAGCTGTTATCATAAAATAAAATAATCAGTTGTTGATATCTGAAAAACCCAAACTGATAAATTTCTGTAGAGTTTGACTTCTATAGAGCCAACCTGACATTTGGTTCCTATGTCACTGCTGAAGTCAGTGTCGTTGGCTGCATCATAAGTTTCTGGAAAAAACTGTCATATCAAAGATTACTTGTAGTTTTAGCTGTAATAAACAGTAGCACTGCTTGATTGATTTGAAAATAGCTAATTCTTTAGTACATAAAAGAAAAATATTATCTCCAAAAGACATTGGATTGCAAAATCAAAGAAAAATGTCGTATGTTTTTAAAGGTTAGATATTGCTAGGTAGACACTGTTATTGTACATTGTCTGCTAAAAATTATTTTCCTGTTCTTGCTCTCACGATTAAGCTGGACATCCTGGTGCACTTTTCCGCCGTGATAGTCATTACCACAGCTTGAAAATGCTTTTTTCTGTTAAATTCACAGCAGCTATTTTTGTTGGGTTGTGGAGGTTTTCTTCTGTTATGTAACATACTCAATATTTATGGATTTAAATATATTCATCAGTCTTGTACCAAATTTTCCTTTGTTTATAGGTGACTCACTTTTGCTTACCACAACTTCTCCCATTGCTCAAACATACCACATCATACCTTCATGAGGTGTTTGAATTTTATGAGGAAATTCTTACCTGCCGCTATCCATACTCCTGTTTCAAGACTGTGTTTATAGATGAAGCTTATGTTGAAGTAGCTGCTTACGCATCCATGAGTATTTTCAGGTTAGTATTTGAGAAAATTACACCTTCTAAATCCACAGGCGTAGAAGCTGTAGATCCAAGACTATTGAGAAATATGTGAAGCTTTCAATATTTTTATAGCCTGAATTTTGGGCTCTCTAGTTTGAAAAGGCTTTTGTTGACATTGCAGGCTTCTAACACCATTTCCAATTTTATCTGCTATAAAGATGTTGGAGTTATATCTTCTTTAAGAAAAAATTTGCAGTGGTTTTCCTTCTGATTTAGAAAAAAACATGCATGAAATATTTAAGATCAAATTAATGCAGAAGTTTGATTGTTTTATTTTTCTTCAGCTGGGATAGGGTACCAGCAATCCAAAAGAGTTTCACCAGTTAAAACAAACTACTTTGGGTCTACACAGAGTTTTGTATGTAGATGATAATAGCAGGAAATCTGCCTGGATTAAGTTTATTTAAAAAAAAAAAAAAAGTTACTGTCTCATTGGAAAACAAGTGTATTAATTATTTTATTTGTTTTGGCTTTTAAAGCAAGATCTCTATTTTGTTTCTTTGGAGCTTGTGCTCATATTGTGTTATTTTCTTTTTATGGGGGTCCAGCACAAATCTCTTACACAGCGCAATGATTATAGATGAAACTCCACTGACAAGGAGGTGCTTAGCACAGGCCCTGGCCCAGCAGTTCTTCGGATGTTTTATATCCAGGATGTCCTGGTAAGTATTTTACCATTATGTTCTCTAGAAAAGGTGGAAAATCTAGAAAACTCAAATCTGAATTTGCATGTTGAATTTTATCAGAAGAATAAGAGAAACAGTAACTGTAGAAGAAAGAGGAAAAATAAGAATAATAAAACCAGCTCAATAAGTGAAAATCCATGAGATTTATTTTTTTGTTGTTTGAGACGGGACTGCGAGGTATAAAGGTACCAAAGACTGTAGAGACTGAACATGTCTTCTCTCAGAAATGGTTGCTGTTGAATGCTGTAGTGTGCTTTGGCACCTGGAAATTTAGAGGGGAGACTCTCTTGTATCATCAGTAAATTTCTGTCATGTATATTGGATGAAGAAGTGTAGCCTGCATAGGAAGTACTTGCAGAGCACAGAACTAGTAAATTACAAAGAAGTTCAGGGAGGGGAATGCAGAAAATAGTTGGTAAATTCCTTGGGGTGGTAAGCTGCCTATAACTCCATCCCTCAGGAAATCTCCCCCAACTGGCTCTTGCAGTTCTGATCAGTGGTTATACTGTATATATCAGGGACAAGGAGCCCATTACATTTTTCATGGCAAAAGTGTATGTCCCAGAGTATCCCTTGCCTAAAGAAAAAAACACCAACATCTTTTAAAATTGGTGTTTGTACTATTACAAGTTCTCTTGCTCTCTTCCTTATTTCTAGTCTCCTTCCATTGTGAAGATATTTTTTTCTTCCCTCATAATGATTCCCTTTGTATCTTTATTTTATTCACTTCTTCATACTCTGTATGTCAATCTAATGTTTAGAATTCTATTTCATGATCATTTTGTGGGTTTTGTCTGTATTTTTGTCTGTTAGGACATAACTCTCAAAAGAGGTGTTTAAATGGGTTTCCACCAAATTGTGAGATGGGTATTTTGTCTACTTGCTGTCCAAATCTTTTGCATTGCATTGAGATGTTTATCAAGTAATTAAGATACAGATTAGCAGTTGTTTTAACTTTAGTGTCCATTTCCTCTGTTTTATTGTTACTGTTTCAGCTAAAATAGTTCGCTTTTATATTTTAATCTGGGCTTCTGTGGTAAAAGTTCAGTTTTCACTGGCTTTTCAGTTTCATCTGTCCTGTCCAGGTGCCAAGTTACATAAATTGGTTCACAGCTCATCAGACTCCTATTGACTTAGAGAAGTTATATAACCTGCTGAAATTTGTGGCTATTTTGAGATGGTCAAAAATATCACTCCTTACAAAATACCTTCTGAAGTGCTATAATTCATGCTTCTTTCTTATTATAGGTCAGATGAATGGGTGCTAAAGGGAATCTCTGGTTATATTTATGGCCTTTGGATGAAAAAAACCTTTGGTGTTAATGAGTATCGCCACTGGATTAAACAGGTAGCAACATAATAGCGGTATTTTCTATGTCTTTCAGACATTTTGCATTAAAGATGCCATATAAACCTAGAATATAATACAGTTTTGCACTGCAATCTAAAGAAATGTGTAATAGTGACAAAACTGAGAGCTCAAATATTTTTACCATTTGCTGCAAGGAAAAACACCAAATGTATTAACTGAAGTACGTTTCTGTGACTGCATTATGAATAATAATTTGTATTGTCTCTCTGTGCAATTAGTTTTCCTCTTTTTGTTTGGACTTTTGCACAGTAACAGAGAGAAAAAGTTTTTTTAAAAAAGTACTTTTTTAAGCACTTAGAATATGAGATTCATAAGGAGATCTATTTAGTGAATTTGTTATACGGTGATGGCCATCCATATAGCTCAGAAGCGCTTCAACGTTAGCTTGGATCAATAGTAGATCAGGTATCTTTCAATATTTAACTACTAAATGAAATAATAAAACAGTAAAAAAATCCCTGTTGAAGGGATTTCCTTTCTTGGAAAAGAAATTTCTGTCTATACATTTCCAAATGTAATGCTCTGAGACAGGTACTCTAATGATAGCAGCAATGACTCTTTGTTCTTTACCAGTTACATTCATTCACAGAAAGATGTATATCTTCTTCCTCTCGCTTTCATCACATTCTCTTACCCTTCCTTTTCCAAAAACTAGATTCCTAACCCCATGGGCTCTGTTTACATCCCTTACTTGGGGACCCAACACCATATCCTTATCTGCCTCACGTACATTCAGCTCACTGGTCTTGTGCTGTCTGTGATAAGGTTGCAGGTGCTATAGAGAACAGCAGGACTGGATGAAGGTGTGTCTGAGAGTTCACTGCTGCATGCGGCAGAAGTTGCTTCTGGATATTAGTTGCTCAGGTTCTTCCCTAGGAGTTAGTTAAGTGGTCCCACACTTAGTTCTCCTAGGAGGCGCTGCTGTCACAGCCTCCAGTTCTGCCCTTACTGCTTTGAATGTATTAGCAGTATATGAAAGTGTGTAAATTGATATGAATCAATAAATATCAATACATACTGACCTTTAGAAATTCCTTAACTAATGTTGGGTTGCAGACAGACATCAATTCACTTTTCCTGTGCACAAGCTGACCTGATTTGATCCAAAAGCCCAGAGGCTCCGTGCATCCTTGGCATACACTACCTCCGGAGAGGGTATTTCAAAGACCCAAGAGGGTACCAGTGGGCTTTTGGTATAGCTGCCTTGGAGATGGAGGAAACTGAACCAGTGATTGAATAGGTGATAGTGAACCCATGCAGACATCCCGCCTTGAAACATGCTTGTTAACATGGGCACAGCACCACACAAATTCAAACTCGTGTTCCAGTTCAGAGCCAGCTTCTGTCTGGCTTGTGCATGGGTCAAGGTGAGCTTTTGTACGCTGCAGTCTACTCTAGATACACCCAATATTACTTTCCACTGCAAGGAAAGGGTGATCACCTTCATATCTTTTGATCAGAGAACTTGTTGATTGAACAATAATACTCTTTAGATAATATTATAGTAAATATTGTGGGTTGACCCACAATCCAAACCCAGAGCAAGTGTTAACAGCTCATTTCTACTGTTTATTGTTGTTTGCCATGCCGAGGAACATCCCTGATTTTAAAATGCTCTTAACATTTGTAAACAAATTTAATTAAGAAGTATGGCTTGAACAATGATATGGAAAGCTTTCCTGTCATCTTTAAATAATTTCTCTACTTTCCAAAATTATGTTTGCTTACATCTGTTGTGCTTTTCAGGAGTTAGATCAAATAGTGGCATATGAACTGAAGACTGGTGGAGTTTTACTGCATCCAATATTCGGAGGAGGAAAAGAGAAAGACAAGTATGTTTATTTAAGCCACAAGTCATTACAGGGTATGTTTTTATGGGACCATTAATAGATGCCTTGGATGTGTTGTGTAGCACGAGGCCAAAGGCTTGAAGAACTTCAGCTGCCCAAGGCATGTATTACCAGTCTCATAAAGTACATCTTCAGTATATTGTATCATTGTTGTTTTATTTTTCTTTCACTTTAAATCTTGAAGGGAATGAAGTATAATGAATGTTTTTAATGCTGTTACAAAACTACTTTTTAGTAAGAGGATGAGAGAGGATATGGAGCCAGATTTTTGATCTGAGCTATTTCTGGAGTGGTTAGTAATCTTTAGGTTTTTTACAGTATCATCAGTTTTCTTTTTCCTTGCTCTTTTTCTTTCCACTGTCAGTTACCACCTTGCAATGTTGTACTGAGATTTCTTGTCATTTGGGGAAAAAAAAGTATTAGATCAGTCATCTGTGAAGTACAATTAGTAACTGTGGACTGGCTGGGTTTGTATTTTCCTAATAATTGTGGTTTCAATATTGTTAGCTTATTGTTACCTCTTTTGTGATGCTCCTGTACTACCCACTGAGTAGTACTAATCACTGGAGGTAGAAAGTATTACCAGAAGACAGATCAGTAAGTTGATCCAGGTTTCAATGACAACCTTTAGCTGGGTTTTTCTTTTTTTGGATAAATTAACTGAGTTAAAACACAGCCTCACAAAGAGTTACTCTTTGGAAATTCATGCGTGGCATGTGCAAAACTGTGAGGTTGAACGTGTGCAGGTGGAGTGAGAGAACATGTGAATTTCTTAAGTCTTTACTGCAGCAGAAGCCCTGTATTATGAAAATACAAGCAAAATTGTCTGCCACAGTGGTTCTCTTGCATTTGAGTATGTGCAAATCCAGGTTTTGTTCATTTAAAATTAAAACTCTGGATTCAGAACTGAATCAAGTACACAAGTAACCCATTTAAAATTTGAATAGTGATCTCTCTTTGAGACATGAAAAAGAAGAAAGTGTTTTCTGAAATCAGGAATAGGATATATTGGTGAGTTTCTCAGCCAGGTGAATCCTCAACAACTATCCTGTTTTCTGGATGTTGACAATCACAGATGCAACTTGTGTATGTGTGTATGTGCTAAGCCGTTACTCAGTTTTGCTTGTCTGCTCATGATGGATTTTGATTTATTCACTGTCCTGTTCTTTCAAGTAGTGAAGCAGACCGAGTACCTAGATGCTTTTGGTACATATACCTCTGAAAAGCAAGTTACAGCTAGCAGCAGTTACATTAGGCATCCTTTTGGTGCTGGTGTCTTTCTTTTTATTAAAGAAAATCTAGGGTACTGAATTAGGTCTTGGCTGTCTTTTCAATTGGCAACATACTCCCCTATACAGAGAAACTAAATTCAGGTGATTAGAATCAGATGAAATTAAACAAAAAGGGTACATCTTAAAAAAAAAAAGGGAATTGACTAAAAGTCTCTTTGTATCTGTTAATTTTCTTAGTTTTATTGTATGTGTTCTTGATTTGAACACGAATAATTGAAAAAATCCTGTTCTAATGCTCTTAAATGTATTCTCCTTCTATGTGGTGTATCCCTGTTGGACACTGTTTCTACATCTGTTTCACTACTTCATTGTTTTATGGCTTGTTAATAATCGTAATGTCACATATATAAATTACAACTTGCTGTTTCTTGTAGATTGCTAAGTTCCCTTATATGCAAATTAAGTATTTGTTCCTGACTTTGGGAAATTATTTGTATTTAGGGAGGTATTTTCATAATGATGAAACATTTCTCTCAAATAGATTTTTTGCTATGTTGTGGTTGTTATGATATGGTTTCCTGCCAAGCGTATTTGCATTACAACAGTCCCAATTAGTAATATGAAGAAAAAATTAGATTAATTAATAACCTCATTTTCCAACTAAATCAGAAGCTGAATATGGAAATAAACCACTGGGAAAAATTAACTTCTTTCAGACACATGAATTAATTTCAGTGCAAAACACATAGGTCTCACAGATTCTTCCTGTTTATGTCTAGTGAAACAGAAACATACTTTCCAGGACATTTATTTTAAAACAAAAAATCAGAGAGCTTGGGAAAATGAAAGACAGGAAACTGCAGGTTATCTGCTGCAGGGATGGAAGTTTCAAAACAAAGCTTTATGTTTGTTACATTTTCATTTGTGTCTCTTCTCTCAGATTTTGGTTCTCTTCAGTCTTTGATTGTGCTGGTGCCACCCCATTGTAAAAATTAAAAACATCAAGAAATGCATGTAGATATATTTCAAATAGAGGAAGCATATTGACAGGTTTACATTGAATGATGGGAGTGTGTTTGAGAGTATGAACATTATAAATTCCCATGAAAGAGCTAGTTTGGTTTTCACTTTGACAAAGGTTCTAGGCCCATATTTCTAATTGTAATTCTCATTTGGAACCAATTCAATAAATGTTTTAGAAGTATAATGATTGAAGAAAAATACAATCAGAAGAAATGTACTAATATTGAATGAAATACAAACAGTAACTGTCAAATGCAAACTTGTCTCAGTTTTGATTTGCAGTTTAATAATGTCACTAGTACCAAAATCAATCAACCCTTAGTAAATTTAAGAAGGCCAAGGATGTGGGTCCTGGCTTGGTTGTAATTCTCAAGAAAAGAATTTTACCAAAGTCAATCAACTGTATAATTTGATGCTGGATAAATAGTTTTATGCTGCGACCAAATTATTATATAATGTCTGAGCCACAACCTCAGTTTCCTCCTTGCATTTCAGTTTTTTCATGGTTGCTAACCCTTTCCCACCTCAGAATAGAGAACTATCCAAAATAACAGGACAATTTTGATAAGGAGAACTTTAGCAATTGCCAATCAACTAGAAACAGCAAGTAGTAAACCTAAGTTCCTTCTTATTCATACGCTCTGTATACCTGAGAAGGGTAGACTTGCTTAAATTTAGAAATACTTTTCTTTTTGTATCATCTTCTTAAGATGTTTAAGCAGACATTCATGAGGAAAGTCAAGGGAGTCTCCCAGTAAATAGGAGGATGGAAAAAAATATTTAGGTGCTGCAGCTACCTTAGTTCTTGCCATCTCCTGAAAGCTTAAGAGCTGCAGATAAGGAGCTAACTGCTGGTCCTGTCCTGGTAGAACACTTCTTGCTGGCATACATCTTTCAACTGGATGGGAAGACTGGTCAAAGTTAAAATGGCTTGTTTAATAGGTCTTTGAAGGTTCTGGAAGCCCAGTCTTATTCTGAGGTAGTTGGTATGAAAGATCAGGCTTATAGCGCTTATCTTTGATCATTACAATTCGTGAATTATTTCATTCTGTCTTGCAGTGTCATCTTCTAAAGCCGTTGGACAAATCAGGTGCCTGGTCCATCTGGAAACGGTTTAGTTAGGTTATCTGTAAGCAAGAATCACAGGGGACGAATCCAATTTAGAGTCGAGAAATTTTAAGTAGCTGGCATTTTCTGTGGTGCAATGGCCAATTTGTGATTCTCCACCAACCAGCATAAACTGAGTCTGGATTCTCACTTCTTAAGAAGTTGGCCTGACATGGTGTGGGTCCAGCTTCGTAAGATGTTTGTTATTCATCCATGGAAAACTCAAATGTGCTGTGAAAAGAACTAAAAGAAAAAACATAGCACAACAAAATACAGTTGCCACAGACTTGGTTCATAAATGAAATAAAGTCAGACTTCTCATTATCTCCACTTCTCAAATAATTGAAAAGGGGCAAAAAGATTTTTATTTTTCTCAAGAATTACAGTATTATGGCTACTTTTTCTACTTTGAAACTGGGCTATAGGTCAGAACATTTGTGTTCTGAAATGTGAAACTTGATGGAGAACATTCATTTTGAAGCTCATTAAAATTAAGTCTTTTGGTATTTTCTTGCTGGACAGCCACTAAGGCTATCCAGAAATCAGTTCTGTTTTTAAAAGATTCAGGGTTTCACCATTTGTTTGTCTTCTGATACGGAATGAAATTAAACCATTTAAAATATTTTGCTTATAGACATGCAGGGTATTTGTGAAGGAGCACCACAGATAGTTCAAGTTATGGAAACACTGTGGAAGCTGTAACATGATGCTCTGCCTAGTCTTCCTTGGCACGGTGTCTGATTTAGAAGACATCAGTTTGCCAGAGTATTGAAAGCATAAATTTGTGAACTAAAATAAAACCCAAGCAGTTCCTTTGGCTCATCACATGAAAGTCTGCTGTGACTTTTAAAACTCTTACTTTTCTTTAATTGCAACAATTCTTTATTTAAATATAAAATATTTACTATGTACAGGCGCTTTTACGTGGAAGTGGAGCAGGGGGAATGTCAATTCATGAGTAATTTCCAGACTCAAGTCACAGATTCCTTGCTTTGGTTGCTGCTGCTACTGCTGTCTTCACAGTAACACACAGCATGTATTTACCTGTCATTTCTCTCTGTATAGTCCTTGCTGTATGCCAGGTACATATACCCATGTCACTTTTCTGTACAAGCGTGTGCTCATTTTAAGCATGTCATAATTTATAACTTTAATGCAGTAGAAGAGATCCTAAATAATTGTTGTGCAGCTATAATCTTGTTGCTAAGGTTTATTTTAAGCTTCATTCCATAAAATGCCAAATAGAGAGCTGTTGGGGGTTTTTTATTGTTTTTCAGCCCTGCATCACATTTACATTTTTCTATCAAACACCCTCATACACTGTCCTGGGAATATTATACTATGTTCCAGTGTAAAGCACATCTTGTTATGAGACTGATTGAGAACAGGATTAGCATGGAGTTCATGTTACAGGTAAGTAGTTAAATGATTATGTGGAATATAGACAACTTTTTGTCTTTACTTGCATTTTTATTCATTAAATGGCATTTAAGAAAACAGAACAGATCATCATAGGATTCCATTTGTATTTTCAGTTTTTAGCAGGATAGAACCAACATAAAGTCTAGTTCATTTGTGTTAGGATAAGGTTAGCCATTACTCTTCTAGATAACTTGTAATACTTATATATATTGCATATTCTCTTTAATGTTAAGGTATTTCATTGCTTGGGGTTATTGTGATCAATTGTTAACACTGAGGACCTGCTTTACTGACCCTAACTGGTGTTGCTGTGAGCTCATCTACTCGGATTATAAAGAAGGCTCTGCTGTATAAAATTTTCAGTGCTGCAGAGAGCATGGAACTTTATAGTAGAAGAAGCAGTTGAATAGAAGATTGTAATTTTATTCTGGAATGCTAAACTTCTGCAGAGTTGTAGTTTTTCTTCTTTACTAAATATATTCTGTGACATGTCTGAAAAAGGATAGGGTGCTAGAAACAAACACCCAGTTAGAAACTGAGTGATACCTTTTCCCATCAACTTTTTTGGGGGGTTGTTTGTTTGTTTTATTTTTTTTGAAGGATAACATGTATGTGCTTGTGCTAGAGCTGTTAGAAACAGTTGTCAGGTTGAAAATACTGCAGATGCATAATTTTTAAAGCTTTCCTTACATACATTTTAATTATTCTTTGCAATTAAAAAAAAAAAACTTGATGACTGTTTTATTTCTAACAAGCAGATATAGTCAGTGATCTGGTTTACTGTCGATAATTTTTGAAAGCTGATGGTCTTTTAATGGATTTTGTGTAGGTATATGGAACTTTGAGGAAGTTGGTTCTTTGAAAAGGCTCGGGTGGAAAGAATTGATTTAAAAACAACCCCCTTAGCCTCTGCATTATAATTTGGTACATAAAGGCCACAGCTCCTTGCAGTGACTAACCTCACAAATTACCTGGGTTTGAAGTATAGAGGTGCTTAGAACTACAAAATGGATGCCAAGAAGTGTTTCTATGTTTCACTTTGAATTCAACTCTGTTAAAAAGCTGCATGGTAAGTTGTACCTGTAGCAGTGATGAGCAAAGACGACATTTTTAATTTAGTTTTGTTACCATTAAACGTTTCTCATGTTAAGAAGCTGGGGTTTCAGAGCTCTTCTCAGCATTGTGGATGGTTTGCCTTAACTAAAAATACATTCATGTCTGCAAATCACAGTTTCTGATATGCACAAGCAAATAATTTTCTGAAATGTCTTTATTTTGAAAGACTTTTTTGAGGCCAGTTATCAGAGAATGAGTTTATTGGCCTCTTAGTTGCAATTCCGCTGCAACTAAACAGAAAAACTTATTTTATATATTGAAGTATTTAGTGAAAGTAATAATTTTTTTATCACTTTAGGTTTTCAACAAATTGTTGAGTCTGGCCAGCACTGCTTCATCTCAGAAGTTCCAGTCACACATGTGGAGTCAGATGTTGGTTTCCACATCTGGGTTTTTGAAATCTATCTCAAATGTCTCTGGCAAAGACATCCAACCTTTAATAAAGCAGTGGGTGTATCCTTTTTATTCTTGGTCTGGATTGTTAATATGGAGAATGAATTAGTTTTTTAATTGGCACTATTAAAGGAATGTGAAGAGAGGTATGAAATATCTTTGCTTAAAACACTTAAATACATTATTCTTTGAATTAGAAATAGATGTGAGCCACAGGTTCACACTCCTTTCGTAGTCATTTATAGTATACTAACTTTTTTGGATGTTCTTTACAAGAAGGGATTTCATGATTTTAAGTTTTACTTTGAAAAAAAAAAAGCACAAGAACTCTGCTGGAATTTAAGGCCAAATTATACTAAAGGGATTCCAGAGGACACTGCCCATAGAAATATGCTGAAGTCTGACATGGAAAATGCTATAGTCTGGTGCATTTTAGGATGTGATTTCCAGTAAATCACCATGAAATAAGTAACCTAAAGTGCAGATTGATAGTTTAAAATACACTAAAATGTAATAGCTTGGTAGCTTGTGTTAATATTACAATTTCAGGTAAAATAAACCTCTGTGTGTTGATTCTTCAAATTTCAGTGATAATAGTCAAGAAATAGGATTTCTTATTTTGGATTGATATGAGAATAAATTTGAATTTGGTCTATTTAACAGGTTTAATTGGTAACTTTAATGCAACTGCAGGCTAAAATCACACATGACTGCAGCAAAATGATTCCTTACTCTTCTAACAGAAAACAAAAGTAGGTATTTATATTTAGACGTTATTTATTTGAGTTTACTGAATAATGTTGGTGCATCTCAATATCTAACTAAAAAACACTGTACAATTAATATTTATAGAGTAAGATGAGGAGTTAGTATTTTATCTGCATCAAAAGTATTCACAAAGTATTCTAATTTCCATACTTAGCTGTGCCAAGCACTTGAGGAAAATAGGGGTTCTATCCATACATAGATTCACACTGCAGCTATACCTAAATGTCAGCATTGCTATCTGAGCCAGGTTTGTTCTGTAAGCAAGGAAATATTGTAGCTCTCAGATTTGGGGATTTTTCAGCTTCTCTGGACTTTGGCACCAAGTCTGATCCTGTTAACTGTAACTTACGTTTAATCCTATGGTTGCAACCTTCCTGCCATGCTTCAAACACTGTTGCACCTGTGATGGTAGATTTTCCACCTTGTAAAATGCCTTAGGCTGTACTCGATGACGAAGTCACAGACCTTTATGAAGGCAGCCACTGCAAGCAGAAGCAGTCTGAGGTATCTAGCCAAATAAGAAATGAAATATCTTTGCTTAATATCTCCATTTTAGGAGAAAAGTTAATCATGTACAATAAGAAGCCTCTTTGTCAGCTCCTGCCTTAAATGTCAGGACATGAAAGAACAGATTTTCCTTCCCTGCTGTTGTCTCATATTGTCAGAGACTTGTTGGGAGCATGCACTAGACTAAAACACTTCATTCTAGTGTTTTAACTTTACTATAAATGAACTGTATTCACACATGTGAATGCTTACAATGACCCGGTTGGAAAAAATGCAATAAAATAACTTAGTTAAATGTAGCATGGGTAGAAAAGTGAAGCTAATTTCTGCATTTTCCCCTGAGTTTTATTTAACTGAAATGTATAGTAAAACAAATCATATTGAAATTACTGAATTCTTACTCAATTACTTTCTCTGAGAGCATGCCAAGGGCAATGGATATGGTGGGGTCCAGTATAGTTTTTCATGATGACTTTTTGCTTACTAGATAATTTTCATTGTATTTCAGTTTTTCTTCGTATGGTACATGATTGTATCTTAAAGAACTATTCAGAGAAAAAAAAAATCTTTAAAATTTAATGAATGAACATAAGTGTTTTCTTGCCCTGATATTCTGAGGATAAGAAATTCTGGCAATAAAGAAATATAAAGCAAGTGTAAAGAGCAAAAACATTGAGAATTATGTTTGCTTATAACTACTGCATTGTACACTAGAATTCCTATACTGCTTATTAGAGATCAGAGTGGAGTGGTAAAATTTTATGGCAGCTTTGCATTTAATAGAAAACGGAATGTATTGGAATTGGAAATAAAACAAGACTACACATCTCCTGGTACTCAGAAATATGTGGTAAGGTCAATTTTCTATATTTTAGCTACACGTACAAGTGTGATGCATACATTAATAAGCATAATTTTAATGGTAATAACAAAATCTTGTGAACTTGAAGGGTCCTCTTAAAGTGACAGTGCAAGAACTTGATGGATCATTCAACCATACATTGCAGATTGAAGAAAACAGTCTTAAACATGATATACCCTGCCATTCTAAAAGCAGAAGGTAAGAATTAAAATATAAACTGTAAGTATTTTTAGTATGGCTATATGAAAACATACAGTGCATTGATGATAAGTACATGCTTTTTAATTTTTGTGTTTATGTTTTGTTAATCTTACTGAATAAGATTTACTTGTGATGTAAGGGGAGAAAATAGAATTTACTACTGTTTATGGACAGCCAGAAACCTTACATTTTATAGGCAGGTCTTAATTATAAGTAGAGGTCTTACATTTTATAAAAGTTTTATGAAGAGCCTATTTATATAGAATGAGTTGAATGAAGACTAATTAGAATCAAATTATTCCAAATGCATTTAATGGGAAGGACAAATTAGAGGGAAGACAAATGTAGGTCAAAGGAGTACCTGAAGTGAAGATACATGAATGAAGCACTTGCATAGTTTTCCTTTTCTGTTAAGAATGCCAGGGCTGTTCACTAAACCTAATGAGCAAGAAAAGTAACATGCTTCGCAAATAGATTCTCTCAGTTTCCTAATGCATTTTAATAAGTACTTTGACCTCTACTTCTCGAAGTTGTACGCTTATGTGTAATTGTAAAAATAGTGGGAGTCAAGTTTAAACCAATGTAAAGTATTGGTGATTATTTGAACGAAACTGATACACAGCTCAACTTCATGAATATTTTTTGCTGGAGAAAACATTATTTTTCAGTGTCGTGAAATACACAGAGCCCTTTTGCAGGCTTAAGCTTTGTTTCTAAACATATCTTTGGTAGTATGGTAATTTTCTAAATACCTATTTTTTTTCAATTTTCTCTTTTTTAATAGAAATAAGAAGAAAAAGATTCCACTGATGAATGGAGAAGAGGTGGACATGGACCTTTCTGCTATGGAGTAAGTTAGCTTGTTGGTGTTGCTCAGTGTGAGACTAAGCTGTGTTCCCCTTGTCTAAAGCATGCTGTTTTGAAGGATTTGATAGTAATGCTGTATTTCATTACATGACTGGCAAATTTCAAGACTATACCACATTTCTTTACCTTCTTAGAGACTTTTCTTCTGTAGCTGGGAAAACACGGGTGAAATGTAAAATATATGGGTTAACTACAATAATCAGTTTTTAAAAAAAAAACAGGTATGATAAGCTGATAGAATAAATTACTTGATTCTTTCTTACATATTTCTAATGATATCTTTCAGCTGACTTTATAGGTAAAATGTAAACAAGAATTGGCTTGAAACAAAGTAAGCAATTTTTGTTGGACCTGGATGAAGAGCATTTAACTAGCACTAAGATAGACAAGTTCCTGAAATCTGTGGTTAATTCCAAAATAATCCTTTTAGATTGAAAATAAGTGATGAAATGCTTCATACTGAAATTCATACTGGCATTAATTTCAATTGGAACTGTTTAGCTCTTTGGAAGCAAATTCTTGCTCAGTGTAAGTACCCACTGTACCATCCTTGAGTTGGAGCCAGTGGTGTGCTCAGAAATATGGTGTTGGTACCTTGTGCTGGCTGAGGGCAGTAAATAATCTGCTTTTGAAAACTAATGGTGTCTCCTTGAAGAAGGGTAGATTGCTTGTTGCCTTAAAAGTGCTGGAGAGTCTCATAAATTGAACCTTCTCAAAAGTATGATGATAAATAATTTTATAAGGGATATTTTCATTGAACAATTAATTGTTATAATTTCTATATGATAGTTGACATAAGAAGAAATGTATTTAAGAGCAGTTAGCATAAATATTTGTGAGTAGTTCTGATCAGTTATGTTGAGCTAGCTATTGCATTACCCTGAGCTGAAACCTTAATGACCTTCTTAGAACTACCTTTGAACTGGAATATGATTTTGTGCAAGTCACGCTTTGTTTACCTGCTAATCTGCAATGCTGTCGTTCTTTTGTCCAGTTTGGACTTGTGCGCTCCAAGCATACATGATAACGTTCGTTCTTTTCTATTCTTCTAAACCCTGTGTATGCACTCTTCTTTTCACTATCCTTTCTTCTCTAGCTACTATCTTGAGAGTAATTCTAGATATTCTACAAATGTATATAGAAATACACATCATATTTGTAATGATGCTCTTTTCATCATTCCAAACTCTCCTAATTCCATGTCTGTATTTTGCTGTTATCAATTTTATGTGCAAAACTGAGTAAGAGAGTTTATTATGTAGTTTGTGCTTGTTGCTGTGTGAGTACTAAAATATGAAATGCTCGTTTGGGTGGAAGACAGCTGAGTAATTTTATCTTTAGGAGTAAAACTTTAATCCTGTCTGATACTTTCACTTTTATTGTCATTTGATGTGGCAGTTCTGTATGTTTGCATGGTTACCCTTGTCAGCTTTCAGCCTCATAGCATGTGTGTATTTTTAAAGCGCTTTCATATCTGTTGATAAAAAATAGCATATAAAGAACCTGGGTGTTTACCATCGGATTTTCTTTGTTGGATTTTTTTTTTTTTGTAGTTTTAAACTGTAGAAGATAATAAAGTGCTGCTTGCCTATGAAAGTTATGGTGTCTGAGGAAGTAGAATTAAATATATTGAGGTTACACAGTAGTTTACCATGAACTCAGGTCTGTAGGTTAAAAATACTAAACCATTGTATTAACTTTGACGTATTAGAGGTTTGCATAGTTTGCCCTGTGAAGCTACAGAATTGCCATCCTAGAAGCAGGAGACTAACTTAGATTCATTTATGGTTCTTTGACTCTAAATACTTTACAAATAACTCATAACAACTTAGAACATCTTTTGAATTTCTATAGTCTTGAAATGTTGTAAGCTATTAATGTTTTTCATGTCTGTCTTAGTGCTGATTCCCCTTTGCTCTGGATAAGAATAGACCCTGATATGTCAGTACTGAGGAAGGTAGAATTTGAACAATCTGATTTCATGTGGCAGTATCAGCTTCGATATGAGAGGGATGTGGTTGCACAAGAAGAAGCCATTCTGGCGTTGGAAAAGTTCCCTACTCCAGCATCACGGCTTGCACTGACTGATATACTAGAACAGGAACAATGTTTCTACCGAGTGAGAATGCTGGCCTGCTTCTGCCTTGCAAAGGTGAGGTTGTGTGGATGGGAGTAAGGGAAGAAAATCACTAGACATTGTAAATGTTTGAAAATGCGTCAAAACTCATTGCAGTTCTGAAACTGGCTTGATATTTAGCCTCCTAAAAGTGTTTGCCAAGTATTTTTAACATGACTGATTTGAAAGGAAAGCTGTATTATTTTAGTCTGTAAATGGAGACTGCAGAAGGTTTTCATAATTGTTAAAATTGAGATGTCAGACATGAAAACCACAAGGGATTATTCCAGATTTCATTAAGTGGCAAAAATAAAAGACTTTTGTTTAATTTTTTTTCAGAGCCAAAATGTATTTTTCTATTTTACTGGGAAGTTCCTTGGCCTGTCTGCTGAGAACTCTGAAGTGCTGAAATTCATCTGTCTAATGTGAATTCAGATTGCTGCTCTATATCGGTCAGATTGAATAGGGGCACAAAATAAACATCATGTTGGTCTGCAATTAAATATTAGCAAGCAAAATAATTGCCTTGAAAAGGGAAGATTTTTTTTCTATAGACACAAAATTAGCATTAAGAATGAAAATTAGAGAACCCTGTAGAACAACTGGGTGGATAGACAGAAGGGTAAGAATTTCTGAAAAGGCATGTTATCAACATACTTTTATGGACATAAAGGCATACTTAGTGACAATTTGTAGAGCTCAGATTATTGGCACACAGCTTGCTTTCTGTTGTGTACCTGTTGAGAATAATTCAGTACCTCTATAGAAATAAATCCTTTTGCCGTATCTTGAAAATCAAAATCCAAGAAATGTTTGTGATAAAGTATTTTAATATTGTGAAACACTGATGTAATACTGCCAGTGTATGTGCTAGTATTGCACGTTTCATAATTAATTCACATGGAATATTTAAAAGTTTCTATTCCACAGGTGAATATTAAAAGACCAGTTGTTACAATGTTTAAATGCAATAGTTTTTTCTTTCTTTACTTTGAATTCTCAGGCAGCTGGGCTACAGATAATCATAACCAGTTTTGCTCAGTTGTAATTTTATGAAAAATCTTGGGTCTGCAGATAAGGTTGTTGACTTACAGAAAAAAGATTATAAAGCAAAGCAAAAATATGGCTGTGGCATTGAATCAAGGTGAAGGAGCATGGCAGGACAGAGTCGTAGATATGTTTATGTAAGCTACCTAGGAGGAAAGCGTAATATATTCTATTACTAGTTCCACCATCAGGGCATTAGTAAGAATCACTTCCTGTTGTGATTAACTCAGTTTAATTTTCACAGCTTGTAAATATTCAGGATTTGTATTCTTTATTGAATAAAAGCCAAGTCCCTCATGTTTATTAGGAGGAGGGATTTTGTTTGATGATTTACAACTTCTAGCTGAGTTGTGTTTACTATTGTAAAACATTCTTGGTGTACTGATGTTGATATGGAGAGAAATGATAGGTGATAATGCAATTATAAAACTGAATTTACTACACTTTCTAAACGTACTGTAAACTTCGTTGTAAAACAGCACTTCAGTCTCTCAGGCATAAAGTGTCCAGGTAACAGATTAATCCTCATTGATAAAGAAGTTAATGGGGGGGTGGGGTGTGCACACGCATACACTTTGCTGAGTAGTTTGTGACGGATCACCCTACAGAGAAACTGAGAAAACAATGTCACAACATTAATTGCTGAGAGTACGCAGGCTGATTTTTTCCATTCAGATCCATTGCAGTGTTGGTGATGTGCTATCAGGTTTAAAAAAAGCAAAAAAGCCAATACAAACTCCCTGCCCAAACACTGAAGAGTTTTATAGCTGTGCATGACAGCTACATCTTAGGCCAGGTTTTTTTATGCTATACTGAATTGAAGGATGCAGCGTGTACCTGCCGTCTCCGTAAGCAGAAATAATGTAGGACAGGCTGCTTGCATTATGGTGTGGGGAACGTGCAAATACATTTAATTCAGAATGGATAGCGTGTCAGTAGAATAAATAGAAAACTTGGATTCTGTCAGTATTCAAAGAGAAATTCAGATGACTCAGAACACATTATAAGACTAAAAAATACTGGAAAGATGATGATTTAACTACTATTGCTTTAATTTGAAAATACTGTTATTCATCCATAGATTTCGCAAAAATGAAATACTTGAAGTTAAAGAACACTAAAAAAATTACACCCCAATTTTAATGAAATAGTGAATATCTTGTAAATATAGTAACCTTTGATAATATTTTTGGGGTTGGGTTTTATTTTACACTGCTACATAAATTTCACCTTTGCAGTTTTAAGTTCATCATCGTGGTTTTGAAGCAGTCTTTGGAACTAAGCTTCCTCTGCAGGAAGAGTCATTAATGTACCTTACAGAAAAAGCTATACCTATGTCTTTAGTTGGAAGATTTCAGTTACTGCAAAGGGAACATCTAGTCTGACCACAGTGTTTTCCCTCTCTGACTTTCCTTTGAAGCCTGACTTTGTGGGAAAATGGTTTTCAGTCATAAAGCTCCCATCTTATGTAAGAGCAATGGTGAAGTGGATTGCTACCCATCTTCGCATGGCTTCTTGCTTTTATTTACCTTATTGCATATGCAGTACCCTTTGAAACAAGCTAAACAATTTAGAAGGAAATCATCAAATTAATTTTCTTCAGTGTGAAAGCAGATTTTTCCTCAGTTTGTGGTGGGTGTGTAACAAAGAAACTCCTGCTACATTGTAGGGTGCATTGGCCCCATTTGTTTGTACGCACACACGGTATGTCATCAGGCTTAATCCATCATCAGGCAGAGGTGTTCTTGTCTGCGGGCTTTCACTGCTCCATACAGCAACTGTGTGAAACCCGGGATGCTGGCAGGGCACGAAAGCAGTTTTGTCTTTGTGGAACCTTACCACCTAACACCAAAGCAGACTGCAGCAATAAATTTGTCTCAGTGCACAGTCTCTTTGTGAATTATGATTAAAGTTAGAGGTAGCTGACTTACCTTTGCTGTAGGGGTAGTCTTATAGTCTTCGGGTGGCTGAGGCCTACTTAAAGTCTAGGCTGAGGTTACTGGCAGGGTAAATTTGGGAAGTTGGTATTGCAAAAGCCTCTTCCGTCACTGGCTTCTGTAAAGTCAGAAAACTTGGCTTAGTAAACACAGAATTTTCATCTAAAATATAAAAGACAAAATAATGAAGAACAGAAGTTTATCATGGAAAGATATTTAGTTGCAGATGTCTTCCAAGTGGAACAATTTTCATAAAATTTACCTTCAATGTAGAGAGGATATATTGGGGATGGCAGGGAAAACTTTGCTAGTATAAGATAATACATTGATTAAAATGTGTATCTATTTGAAGGACAGTATGTTCTTGGCAATTATCCTTTTTGATTATGGGAAATGTGTGTTTTGTCTACGGCCAAACTAAAGTCTTGCTGGTGATGTTAATATGATTTCCCTTCCCTCCTAATTATACAGATTGCAAATTCCATGGTAAGCACGTGGACAGGACCACCAGCCATGAAGTCACTCTTCACCCGAATGTTTTGTTGTAAGACTTGTCCAAACATTGTGAAGACCAACAACTTCATGAACTTTCAAAGCTACTTTCTGCAAAAGGTAAAATTTATTTTTTTCACTGAATGTTTTTTAAAAAAAAAAAAGTCAAAATACAAAATGCTCCTATGGTTGACAACTACAAGAACATGGATAGCACAGTCCTGCTTTAGCCCTTCATAAAAATGTAAAATAACTGGTTCTTTCTTATATGGCATCTGTTTGTTCCATCTTAGTCAAAAATCAGTTAACAAAATTTTAGCAATTTTTTCTGAGTAGCTGAAGTTAAAATAGCAGTTTCTTCAGAAGAATGGAGTATATATAATAATTATTTCTAAATATAGGTGAGCTTTTTCTTAATTATAATTTATTGCATGGTAAGAAAGCTACTCATTTTATCTTTTAGGTGAATTCAGCAGCTGTCCTTACTCATTAATGGTAATGATCATACTGCAAATAAAATCTCATAAATCTTATATTAAATTAGTTTGCTTTTTAGTTCAAGGCACTGTATAATCTTTCTTACCCTGTCCTTTCTATTAATTGTCCTTTCTATTAATTGTATTGCTGCAGCTTATTTTGATGTTAATGCATCTTTTGTTACTGGGACCTATAGCTGTTAGTTGTACAGTGGATAACAAAAAGAATTACAATGGTTTTCTCTCAAGATTCACTTTATAATTATTTGATGATTCAGTTCTTATTTCACATGTCTCATATTCCTGATTATGGTGAAAACTTAAATTTTAGTTTTTTACTCTGTCCAAAACTGCTTCATCCTTCTCCCCACGTCTCTTTCTTGGACCTTCTTTTGTACTTTCCTGCTCTTTTTGGCATTGTTCATTCTTTCCCACTAAATCTTACACTTTTTTCCCTTTTAATTCTGTGTCCCAAGTTTACAGATCTAGAGTAAAACTCCTAAATCTATGTGAGTGAAACCTAGAGAGCTGCTTAACTCATTCTGAAATAAATACCAAATCAGACTAACACCTGTCTGGCTGATAATTCTTTTGGCTTCACTGACTGTGGTGGATCTATATCTCTCAGTGGTAACGGAAGCTTAGACATCATGTTCACATGAAAACACCCAAATTCGGTGTCTGTCTCAGAATTAGTTCCATCATCATTTTCTGTGTTCATTATTTTTCATGTGTTACCTTTTTGATAGTGCCTTGAGAGTCTTTTCTTGGATATACAGTTTTTACAAATGTCTGCACTGTGATTAATGAGCAATAATTACGTAGTTTATTTGATCTGAAAATTATGTGATATGATTTTCATAAAGAATTTAAATACAACTTTTCAGAGATTTGCTATTGTAAAATTAATTGCTCATTTTCAGGATGTATCTCTTTTCAGGGTGTAAGTATCATTTCACTAATGTAAGAATGATGTTAGTATTAATTTTATTACACAGACTATGCCTGTTGCCATGGCCCTTCTGAGAGATGTTCACAACCTCTGTCCGAAGGAGGTTTTAATGTTTATTTTGGATTTGATCAAGTATAATGATAACAGGAAGAATAAGGTAAAGAATGTGTTTATTTTAACCTCTCACTTTTTTGTTGAAAAAAGTCTTAGTTAATATACTGTATGATGTTTTATGCCACTAATGTAAATATCTGGCCAGGAGAGTTGATGAAAAGGTGATACACTAAACTAACCAGTAAATGTTACAGAATATTGTGTAGTCAAATGGTTTCTTGGATGTTTCCAAGCTCTCTGTGGTTGTTGACTTACTAAGGACCTGCCTGTCTTCATTTGCACAAATTCTTTTTTGCTTTATTCTTTTTCATTCAAAAGACCCGTGTATTTTGAGAAAATGTGCATGAGGCTAACATAGCATGCAAAGTTAAGCACTGGTTTGTTTGGGGGTTTTTTCACCTTCAGAAGAGTTTTTTGAAAGAGCAAGGAAAGGAAATAATCTTTTTTTTAACGATATACAGGACTCTGGGATTTTGGGTTTGGAATGTCAGCTCTAGCTCGCAGAACAGGATTGTCTTCATCTAGTTAAATAACAGATGAAACCCGAGTTAATATTGTTGCATCACTAAATTGAAGCATCTGAGTTGTAAGTGTTGTCATCTAAAGTTCCTTCCCACACAGACCAACTCTGAAAGATGATTAGAGGACCTTTAAGATCCTGAGATGATACAAAATTCCATCTCCCTAGCTATGGAGGAAGTCCACAATTGCTAGGATCCTAGCATAATCTTCCCAATTATGTGGAACAAATCTGAAGCCTCTTAAGCCTCACTTTCTTGTGTGTAGAAACACATACTGTAACGAGACATTTGGTGCAAAGAGGATGATGGAGGGTGGAGAGGTAGAGAGTTAGACACATGAATGCACCAGTAGTCACGGAATGCGGTGAGTTGTGCTAATGTCTCCCCACCACCAAAGGAGAGATCCTTCCTCACTTTTCCACACGTCCCTTCCACGCATGTATTTGGCATCTTCTGCCAGATCTGACACACATTGGGTTTGTTTAGATTAACTAATACTCAAATCCAGTACTTTTTTCTGCTTTTTAAATTTTATTTTTGTACTTTTTGCTGCTTGCTTAATTAACATGACCAACAAATGCAACAGCCAGCATAATGGAAGGGGTGAAACTGTGAGTCCAGGAGTGAATGGAGAAGCAAGGATGTTCCTCACAAAGCAGCAGCAAGCCCATTAGCTCACCTCAGAAGCTTGTGAAGTTGCTATCTAGATAAACTGATTTTCTGAGGTGCTCATTAACCTTGGTAACCTTGGTACTGAATATAGAAACAGGTAGTTTTAGGTGGTCACATTTAGAAATAATGGCTTTTATTTTCCATATCTGGAAAAATTTCAATGCCTGATTTTGCCGTTTTTGTAAAACAATGTATTACTATTAATGTGCTCTCATTACAGAGTGAAGATGCATGATTGATAGTATGTCAGCTTCCTCAATCACTCTCAAATTTTTTTTCATAACAAATTTCTGGTTTGCTTTCTCATGCAGTTTCTTGCATGGTTTTTGGTTTAAGGTATTGTTCTGTAACAATGCTTCAACATTTCTTAGCTTTTAAAGAATAAATATTGTTATATTTGCTTGCATTTAAATGCTGTTTTTTATCTAGTTTTCAGACAACTACTATCGTGCTGAGCTGATTGATGCCCTTGCCAACTCTGTAACTCCTGCAGTCAGTGTGAACAATGAAGTTCGAACATTGGATAACTTAAATCCTGATGTTCGACTTATTCTTGAGGAAATTACCCGTTTCCTAAATATGGAGAAGCTTCTTCCCAGTTACAGGCATACCATTACAGTCAGGTGTGGTTTAATAATTGTTCACATGAAGAGAGCAAGCACAGTGACACTACTTTTTTGTTGTTATATACCCTGTTGTAGGTAGTATTGGAGATTTTGGCTTGTGTACCTTAATCTTAAGTGTCAAATTCCTTCCAATTTCCAAAAGCTGATAGTGCAACTGTGTCTTGATTGCTTTATTTTTCAATATTAATTTCTATCAATGTAAACTTTTAATAGCAGACATACATTGATTGTGCTTGTGCCTCTTTAAGAAGAGCATTTATGAAAGTTTTGCAAAAGGTAGCCTCATAACAATATCTGTAGAGTACACTACATAATCTGAGCAGTGTTTTCTAAGTTAGTACAGTTCTACTGAAAGAATGAATTTGACACAATGGGGAATTTTGTGTTTCTGCCTAATTCAGAGTTGAGAGCTAGGTGTTAATGCTGGGAAAGTAATTGTAACATGTTCATTTGGATAATATAATTCTAGAAAAATTGCAGTACTTGATTTCGAAGAAAGTAATTCTATTCTTCTTGGCTGGCGTTCCAGAAACCTAATGTAAATATCCTCTTTCTTCCACATCTAGCTGTTTAAAAGCCATTCGAGTGCTTCAGAAGAATGGTCACGTCCCAAGTGATCCTGCTCTCTTCAAGTCGTATGCAGAATATGGGCACTTTGTAGATGTCCGAATAGCAGCATTGGAGGCTGTTGTTGATTACACAAAAGGTACTTTTTTCAAGTATTTTGACACTTCGTAACACTCATGATACAGTAGAAAAGTATAATACTTACCTCATTAATATTAGGTTGAAATACTGTCTACCAGAAGAGCTTGTGTGATGACAGATGTATTGATAAGAAGCTGAGATTGCTCTTAATGCTTTGTCCTACAGAATGCAAGTTTTACAAAGATGTGGTGAGCATTGTTTCTCAGCAACTTGCAAATTGAATCAGAAACCTAAGTTTTGAAGTAATGAGTAGACAGCACAATGAGTAGTCATAAGGGGGTTTGGTAATTTAACACTTCGTTTTTCAGTTATTTTGATTCAGTTGAGTTTCAGCCATAGTCAAAGTTCTTGATTTTGCTTTACCTTCTTGCTAATCTCTTTATTTTGCTGTTTGCATGCATCTTATGGTTATAAATTTTGGAAACAGAGATTATTTTAATGATTATTTGTTGATTCTGCTTTGCCATTCCTTATATGTAGCTTACGTTTGTGAGATGTTTCCATTCTTTTAATATTATCTTTATCTTAGTTGACTGTTGCAGGTCCTTTGAAAAAATACTGGGTAGCTTTTTTTAAACGTCATTTGAAGTTGAAATTCAATCCTGACAGATTTTCGAAGAGGAAGTTAGAAATTATAGCTTTAATGATTTGCATTTTATAAAATGAATTCGGTACTACATTGGCCTGTTCATCTATTTGGGTTAGTCTTTCTCTGTTCGGCAGATTTGTGACAGTTCTTGCGTTTGAAGGATTATCCCTATTAGAGTGGCAAAATCCTTCAATTTCTCAGTGAGCAGACTGGTGATTCTGGACTTCTAGATATTCTGCCTCAAATTTCCTGTTTTCATTTTCAGGGTAATGGAGAGTTTCCTTTGGTTTTTGCATAAATAATTGTTTTCTCTTTTTTATAAGAGCTTCATTACTTTGATCTGTCCAAAGACTTCTCAAAGTAGATAGGCAATGGGAGGTTTTAAGGCAATTGGAGTCTTTGAGTGAATGCATCTGGCAGAATTTGGATGTACGCTTACAGACTGAAAACAGACTGTCATACAGAAGAACTAGTAACTTCAAGGGAGGCTGTGCACTGAGCATCACTCTTGGGCTCAGTTCTCAGTCTCATAATTCACCAGGCATTCTGGGTCTGTAACCCACTGCACGTGTACCATTTGGTGACCCTGTGACACACAGCTAGAATTCAGAATTCTGCTAGTGCCTGTGCATCTCTCTGTTAGGCTTCTCACTTTGTTCCTCCCTTCATAGAGTGTCAGTGGAAAGATTTGCTGGAGAATGGAAAGCTTACTCATCAGCCTGCTTCCTTTAGCATAATCTCCTACTAGTTCATCCCACCCTTTGGAAAGACAAACTGATAGAAATAATGTTTTCTCATTAAATTCTTGACCTTTTATAGACGGTGTTTATAGTTAATAACTGACTTGCATAAGAAAGTGTACTGCAAAGTAATATAGTACATCTTTAAAACAGCTGATGAAATGGGTTGCTGTATAAGCAAGATAGGGTAAGTTGCTGGACATACTCTACAGGAAGGTAAAACTTGAATGGTAAAAAGTAGTAGAAAGATTACTCGAAGAAATCAGTAATTGAGCTGAACGTAATTTTTGACTGAGCTCACTGTGAGATCTGGAAATGATGGATTAGAGTATTACTGTACCTCACTGCCTTACCCCTTGCCAACAGCTTTTTCTCTGATGCAGAGGTAGCAGAAGCAAGTATCTATCTGCTATAAAGTCACTACAATTCACAACACAGCCTACTATCTAACTGGCCATCAGTATAATTTCTCACATACAACCTTCCAGCGCTGATCACATTAGCTTCTGCTCCTGCTGTAAGACTGGTGAGTTTGTGGTGGAGGGATAAATGCGGAAGCTCAGTGTGCTGACTGAGTTGCTCAGCTACCCATATGGAAGTTAGCAGCGCTTGTCTCACAGAGCCCTAAACCTGATTTTGGAAGGAGAAATGATTGGCCGTCTATTGCCAAGAGGTCTGATTCTTGTTGTTCCCAGGTACCTGGTTTCCAGTTCATACTGGATGTAAACCAGCAGCTATCGAATGCCTGTTGCTTGTGCCAAAGCTAGCTTTTTTTCACAGTTCTTGTAAAGGAAGCTGAGACATTTTGTAATTTCCATAAAAAGGAAAGTCTGTATTTTCTGGGGCATTGTGGAACTCCCATGTTTTTCTATCAACTCTCAGGGTAGGAATAGCACTGCTTTTTTTTAGGTTACTTTAAAAGAAATAATTTCTCCATGGAACTGAATAAGTTGTTTTCTTTGCTGTTAATAGTAAGGCTTTTTTGAGACATGGTAACTCTGTAAAATGCTTGAGGCAGCATATAAGGACTTGGACAGTTGATCTAAACTGGCTAGAAGTGAAGAGAGTTTATTAACTTTTTAGAGTTAGCTTCTGATAGTTACATGACTGTCAGATGGATAGAACAAAGCAATTGCATATTTATAAGAGGTAACAACAAACTGTTCAAAATAAATATCCATGATTATCTAATCTCATTAGTGTTAAAGTTTAGGGTCTCATAGATGCTCTGCTGTAATTGAGAACTGATACACCATGTCTTGTAATTTGAAAAAAGTCTCAAGAGGATTTTTACTTCAGAAAGCAATCACTTATTTTTATGTCTACCAGAAGTATGAAAATCTACACATCTTTCTTTTCCCTCAGCCTTCTCCTAGACAAACTGGCAAGATACAGACAGGATGGGTGGTCTGTGAGATGCGTGGTAAATTGGCTCATGGGCCGCACTCAGAGGGTGGCGATCAATGGTTTTTTATTCAGGCTGGCAGCCTGTCACAAGTGGGGTCCCCCAGGGGGATCTGGACAGCAGCATTGGAAGCAGCCTCACCAAGTTTGGTGGTGACACTAAACTAGGTGGTGAGGTGAACACACCATAAGGGAGAGCCATCTTACAGAGAGACCTGGACAGGCTGGAAGAGTGGGCAAGCAAGGAGTGAATGAAAGCTGGAGAGGGACTGTTTACAAGGGCATGGAGTGATAGGACAAGGGGTAATGGCCGTAAGCTGAAGGAGGGCAGATTTAGATTTTAGAATTCTTCCCTATGAGGGTGGTGAGGCACTGGAACAGGTTGCCCAGAGAAGTTGTGGATGCCCCATCCCTGGAAGTGTTCAAGGCCAGGTTGGATGGGGCTTTGGGCAACCTGGTCTAGTGGAGGGTGTCCCTGCCCATGGCAGGGGGGTTGGAACTAGATGATCTTTAAGGTCCCTTCCAACCCAAACCATTCTATGATTCTAAGTTTAACAAGGCCAAGTGCAAGGTCTTGCACCTGGGACAATATAACCAGAGGGCTCAGTACAGTCTAGGATCTGTGTGGCTGGGGAGGCGCGTTGCTGGAAGGTTCCTGAGGGGCGTGAAGCTGACAATGAGTCAGCACTGTGCTGCTGCAGCAACAAAGGCAAATTGGATGCTGGGCTGCATCTGCAGGGGCATTACTAGCAGAGATAGAGATGTGATCACCCCACTCTACTCAGCGCTTGTCAGGCCACACCTGGAGTACTGTATCCAGTTATGGCCCCCACAAGTCAAGAAAGATGTGGACGGACTGGAGATGGTCCAAAGGAGAGCCACGAAGGTGATCAGAGGGCTGGAGAACCTGCCCTGTGAGGAAAGACTGACGGACTTAGGTCTTTTTTCCCTGGAGAAGAGAAGGCTAACAGGGACTTCATTGCAATACTCCAGTACTTAAATGGTGACTACAAAGAGGACGGAGGCTCTCTTTTCACAGGTAGCCACATGGAGAGGGTAAGGGGCAAGGGGTACAAGTTGCACCAGGAGAGGTTTCATCTTGATACAAGAACAAAAATTTTTACAGTGAGAACAATCAATCAGTGGAACAACCTCCCCAGAGACATGGTGGAGTCCTCATCGCTGGGAGTTTTCAAGATGCAATTGGTCAGGGTGCTAGATAATCTCATCTATACTGCCTTTCCCCTGAAAGGTTGGACCAGATGATCTTTTGAGATCCCTTCCAGACTAGGCTGTTGTATGATTCTATGGTTCTTCTGGCTTATAAGATTTGTTCTGCCCAAGGTCAGGTTTAATTTGTTATTTCTCCCCAAAATGTTTCATAGTCGCTATATAAATTTGAAGAGCAAGTTAAATGCATTGGTAGCAAAGCTTTGGAAGTCTAGCAGGCCTAGTTTACACTATAAGGCAAATAGCAAGGAAGACTTACTTTATTTCAAGCACAAATAAATTTAAGAAGCAAAACAGACTTTTATCACAAAAGTGTGGTGTTTCTTGGCTCTGTTATCAAGTGCTATCAGCCTAAAGGATTCATCTCCTAGACTTCTCATTTTCTAATCAAAAACCATTTTAAAATCCATTTTGTTAGCAGTCGAAATAATTGCAGCTTGCTTACCATTGCGACTTAATGTGTTCGCCATGGTGTGAGTCTTTGCTGCGTGGTTATACGATACTATTTTCCTTTTGTATGCCGTGTTCTAGCTGCCCTCTATGCCAAGCAAGGCAAGTGCCAGGAAAAGCAGCTGTGCATGGAGTTGAGCACAGGCAGTCACTAATCCTTTGAAAGTAAGTCCTAGGCATAGCTTTTCAAAGCTTGCTATGATTTTTAAGGCAGATCTGAGATTGTCGTTCTGGTCTGCATGGATACAAATTTGCTCTGGCATCATCCAGAACTGTGTAGCTGTGGTCTTGAGTGCCACTGAACGTGGGCTAATACATTCTGCCTCTAAATGGGGCTTATCAGCCCAGTTCAGTGCCTCACTGGTATAACCAGTTCTGTTCTGGTAGGAAGAGTGGAGCTGATTTGCACGTGGCCTGCAAAAGACTATGCAGCCATCTTGTAAGCAATATTATAATGTAGTTTTAAATTGCATGGCTGCCTCCTCCCGACCCAGGAAGAGGTCTTAGGTTCTAGTTGCCCAAAGTATTTAAAGAACTTCTAATGAACTGAAGTGCTGATTCTCATAATTTAATTAATTGCCTCTTCCTTTAAAAGCAGCTTACCCTAGTGAAATAGCAAGGGAATAGTTGGATTTAGAATTGATATGGACTGGAAAAGTTGTATTTAAAAATTGTTGACTGAAAACTGACTGAGATCAGGAAGGAAAGTTGAACTGAGGTATTTAGAACTGAAAATACAGTAGGCTTGGGGAAGAAACAGTTACATTGCGAAGTCTAAAATATGGAAAGCAACAGAAAAGTTTTTAGAGCTTTCTATACAGGAATGATTAATACACCCTGAATTCTGAAGTAAATCAAAGCCTAAGCAACCTCTTCATTGTTTTGAGGAAATGAGAAGACAATACTGCTGTAAAATGCTATAAAACTTAACGCATCTGAGAAAAAAATTACGTAACAATTCTTTCATTTTTTGTGTAATCAGTGATGATGATACCCTGTGTTGTTTCCTATTTTGCAATGTTACTCTAACAATCAAAGGAATTTTGTAATGAAATTTAAATTTTAAACTAACAAGCTGATTCTGTTTCCAGTGGTGTCAGGCAGCAATTTTCTAGAAGCATGTGCTGATAAATTTCTAAATGCATTTTAATTATAAAGTATACTGACTTAAAAAAAACTAAGGAAGGCTACTGAGAGGAGTATGCTTTCAGTTTTGTATAGGCCCTGTAGTCTTCCTCTTTATATCCTATTTATAGATAATAATCTTTCGCAGATTCCTGTACATGAGAATTGTATGTTCAGTATTGCCTATAGAATATATTATACTTCTGATTGTTGAAAGAATGTTTGAATATGTTCATTTTGGGAAGCACACCATATGAAGATGATCATTTATGCTGTGATCTTCCCAATCAGCGCTCATGAGTGACAGAGTTACTCGCTAATAGTCAAGTTGGTGGTTATTGAACAACTGAGGCATGAAGGAGTTTCGTGCACGTTTCTGTTTCAGTGTAAAGTAAACCGCCTTTTACTTTGAACTTGCGCTATAATTAATCAAATTCCTCTTTAGTTGCAGTGATTCAAGCTCCCTGTGTGCTAATTCAGGAAGTTGTGATTGTCTTGATCAAAATCTTTGCAGTTTATGTATATTTATAGGCATTTTATTTTATTTTTCTTTGCAGTGGATAGAAGCTATGAAGAACTACAGTGGCTACTTACTATGGTTCAGAATGATCCTGTACCCTACATAAGGTTAGTGAGTTTATTAATAAAGAGCCAATATTTTTACTAATGCTGGAACTAAGTAAGTTCTTGGCCTGGAATGACTAGAATAGATCAAATGCTTAACTGATTAATACTTCTTCACAAAACTGTTTTTCCTTCTTGCTATTTTACATAAATTGAAGTGTATTTTGATGTTTCAACAGTTCACTTCTCAAAAATTAATACACTCTGTTCTTATTCTCCATTATAGTATTTTTGTCTTTAATGTTGTACCCCTGTGGTGGAAGTCTGAAGGTAGAGGTCATTTTCTGATCATAAATAAAATATATAAATAAAATATATAAATCTGAGTTGCATATGGCAAAAAGACTTTGCGCTATTTAGAAAAGACAAAGGTTGGCACATAGTGCACACAGTGTTTTGCCAGCAAGGAGTGTAAAGCAGTTGTTAGACTGTAGATGGGGTGAAAGGATAATGTGAAAATATGGTGTAATTTCTGGTATTGCCTGTTTCAACTTTGTTTTCACCGATGAGTGATTGGATATTTTTCCCCTACACTTTCTCCTTATGGCCACCATTAAAAAACTGAGTTTCAAAGATAGATAGTAGTACTTTTATTCTCTCTGTATAGGTGACTTCTTACCAAGATCATAGCTGCAAGATTGTTCTGTATTTTATTTCTGTCATTTTTGTTAATAAAAGTAGATACAGCTACACTCACTAGAGGAGGTTTAGCTTCTGTCTAGGAAGGAGATTTGATGTAATTTGATTTGTATCTTTTTAAAGAGGAGTTTAAATTTTGAATTGAGCGCTATATGTAAGCGTCTTCTAAAAGAAAAGAAAAAAAATCTCTAAGAGTTTTCTTGTCCCAAATGTGTAAGAGAGCAAGGGGAAAGCTGGCTATACAGAGAACATAGTTAAAATAATAAGTTATGGAATAAATAATTATTCTCATTGATAAAATGTTTTCAAGGCCAACTTGAAAGAAAGTGGGGAAAAAAACGTATCTACTTTCAGCTCAGTGTGTAAATATTGTAAGCAAACATGGTAAGTGCAGAATCTTTATACAGCAGTGTAACTTAGGAGGTGAGACGGTGTTTCTTTCCAGAAAAATGTGTAAGTCACTGATTTTGGTCCTGTCATTTTGTGTCAGTCATAAACATTTAAAGTTATTTAAAACCCCTTTGGTGTCAGTGTGTAAGGAGTTTATTTGGCAGTGTTGCCCCTTCTTTGTAATTGTCAACCAAGTCTGTAGAAAAGGTTGTTACTAAACAGAAGAGCACGATGTAGCCTACAATTTGTACGTAACTGTTAAAAATGATGTCTAATAAGATCTTGATGCTTTACATCTTACTTTTTAAGTTATATTGCTGATGGTAAATCTGTGTCTATGCATATTGTGGACAGAAGGAAGAGCTAAAACCATAAAACATTGGTTACGATTTTGGAAGAAATCCTGTATTTGAATAAGTTTGTAAGAATATTGCAAACCAACCAGACTTTGTATTCTTACTGTGTTCATTTGGATTTAATAAAGATTTTTTTTCATTTCTTTTTTAGGCATAAGATTCTGGATATGCTGACTAAGAATCCACCTTTTACCAAGAACATGGAGTCCCCTTTATGTAACGAAGCTTTGGTGGATCAGCTTTGGAAACTGATGAATTCAGGTTGGTTTTTTGTTGGGTTGTTGGTTGTTTTTTGGTTTGGGTTGGGTTTTTTATTGTAAGGGTTTTTTAAATGAATGTTAAAGACTTGCTTCAGAATATGCCAAGAGCTCTCCTAGTTGCCATAGTTAGAAATTGAAACTTCCGTCTCAGAAGTTTAGTGTCATGTACATACCTCCACAACTTTCTTAGTGACAGAGGGTATCAAACCTTGTTTTTCATTGTTTTGTCTACTGCTGTAGTGTGCTCTGATGTACTTTGGCATAGAATGATTCTTTGACCCAGACATTCAAAGCAAATGTTTCCTCAAATGATGGTCTCTGTTACCTTTTTCTTTATAGTTTGCTTTAAATTAGATAGTCTCTCTTTGTCCTCTTTTACTAAACTCTAAGAGAATATGAGAGGATAACATTTGTATAGATAATTTAAATGAGATTTTTAGAAGTGTATTATAAACCTAAGGCTCAATTTGCCTTGCGTGATTAGAAAAGATCCTAATGAGAGAAGGGCTTGCATCTTTACCATTGACCCGTTTTTCATTACTGAAGCAGTTTTATCCAGTCCTGACAAACTGCCCTTTAACATCTGGCACATTACTATGTAGATTACATAAAACGTTTATATAGCTTTTTTAGGTCATTGAAGGCTGTCTGTTCTCTGTGTGTCATTATTTTTAGTGTTTAAAAGTTTACAGCTACACTCCAGGGGTTGAAATGGGGAGACTACTAGTAGTTCAGTTTTGTAGGATTTGCCAAGTGTCAGGCACAGAAAATAAACAGTTTTGATGTTCCCATCAGAGAGTTTGTTTTTCCTTTTTCTTGAGAGAAGAGTGTGTGCAGTGTTACTTACAACCATCACCTCTTTTTGCAAGGAACAAATAGGGTATACATTCTTATTATGATTTATGGGGCTTTAAGTACTTAAATTTCTATGCATCAAGATGACATAATGTTTCCATTTATTTTCTGTAAGGGATAACTGTAGCATTCCAGGGTGCCTTGAAAAAATGTTTGTTTGTGCGAGACAAGTTAGTAGCCAGGTTTAAAGCTGCTTGAATCTAGAAATCATGAGTTGCTTTCATTTAACATAAGCACATGCAGTAGAAAACAGACTCTGATTGATATATGTAATCTTTGTTTTTTCTTCTGTGTTAATCTGCATTAAATTGATAATGCTCACAAGTTCCAAAGATTGCAGAGAAATTCAGCAACCAATTGTATTTAAGCTTAGCTGCTCCACTGGAAAAGGAGAGAGATACTGAATGGAAATTCATCATATCATTTTAAGATGTACTAGTTTAAGAAGTTTAATAAATTATTTAGTGTTAAAATATTAGAATATATTTTAAATTAATATTTGTGAATGTGTCATTCTTTGGAGAGTATTTTAATGTTACAAATGCCCAGGTTAATTAATACTCATATCGCTTTCACTTGTAACTGGGTAAGTGTATGTACAGCTAAGCTTACTCAAAACACTCTTTATCCTCATGAAACTCAGTATTTACAGGGATAGATCTTGTAATTTTGCTTTGTGCTAAGTCTTGCACAGCCACATTAACATGGCAGTTGGCGCATCTGTGTCTTGTTTATTAGATATAGTTATATTTCTGCTC